TACGCCTTGGAAACTGGAGCGCTTGCTGGCAATCCAGCCTCCATGCTAAGCATACAGTTCAAACAAAACTCATGAGACAGCTAGAAATAGCTGATACAGGACGGGCCACTCTAGAGAAAAGGCCCGGGTGCAGATAGACTTCGCATATCTCGATGAACTGAACTGTAGCTGGTATCGTAGACGAAGGTGCAAGTGTCGTGCTCTGCAGAAGTCCCGGGCAGGGGTGGCCCGGCAGCAAGTTGGAGAGCTAGCGCCCGGAGGAGGCGTCCGGGCGGAGAAGCGACTCGATGCGTCTGGTAGCCCCCTGAGGAGGAAAGCGTCCGACCAGAGATGCAACCCGAAGTCGAGTAACTTGTCTAGGTCAGGAATGGGTCAGATGTCATGAGCCTGGGAGGTGTGGTAGGTCACGCTATGGGCAATGCCGCCGTGATTGGAAGTCCGCAACGGAGGGGCGTCTGATCAATCTCAGATCATGTGGCATACGCACCCACCCGTCGTCCTCGACGAAGCAGCTGCGCTGACGTTTTCTAAAACAAGTACACAGAGGGCAGAGACAGGCAGAGAGGCAGGAGGGCGAACAGGGGGGAGGGTGTTATTGTGTGACAAGGGCCGTAAAATATTATCAAAATATATATTGCAGTGAATTTTCAAATTGTATAACCATTTTTCAATCATTCAAATATCAAAGGATAGACAGATTAACATGCTAAGGGAGACTATTGCAATAGTCTGCAAGGACTTACTTGAGTTGCAATTGTCCCAGAGAGATAAGAGATAAGCATTGTATATAACTATAGGGAAGGAAAAGGTGTCACAGTCCACAAAGATAGTTTTGAACGACAAACTTCCTGAGAAAGAAGGAAAATGCAACAATGCGAAGGGTAACAATGAGCTGTCCAAACAGTACAAACAATGTTCATCAGACTAACAGGAAGTACATATTCTTTCTCACGCCATTAAAATTGTCTATTACCCGTCACCAGTACCAATTCAAGGCAAAGCGATAATGAAAATAGGTAATACTTTCGTCATATTCGTTCGGGAGCGACTCATTACTTCCTTTATACTTACCCAAGACACGACACAATAAGACGTAACGCAAGGCAAGAATACAAGATTTGCGCAAATCGATAAGCGAAGTAGGGGAAGCTAAGAGGTAGGGCCGAAGATGGGGGGAGTAGGTACTTGGGCGAGAGTGGAAGTGTGGGCAGCGTGCAGCGAAAATGAATACCGATCTGAATGAACCAAAAGAATAATCACAATCATGGAAATATAGTTACTGTAATTCAAACAATGAATTAGATTAATGAAAAGGTAATGTCTGTCACGAAACAGACAAATTTGCAGAGCAATGCATGAAGCAAGCAAATGCCGGGCAGCTTCTCGTGGGACAGCTGAACGAACGACAATAACAACTCTTGCAGAATTCCCTACACCCCTACAATATAACTAACTCATATTAATTTCCTTTCAGCCTTATTTAGGTATGAACACTCCATCTTAATGAAAATACTAGTTGGCAACTTCTGAACTAAGCCCCGCCCCATTAACTTTATTAATTGCAAATATTATATATCATCTTTTTTTTTTTCTTGGTTTCTTACTCGATATATTTTTGTCATTGTTATTACTGAACCATTTTCAAAGAAAATGTACTGAGAAGCACTTACCAAAAAATATCACACAAATCGTTGGGGTCAAGAAAGGGGGCGGAGCTAATGAGGTCACCATGTTTAGCCAATGAATGTGCTGCGAGATGCTAGATGTAGCTAGATCCATAATTATTTGCACAATTTACTCGCAATTGTTATGATTATCAGAAGTAAAGCCAAAATTCCCTTCTTATTTACGATGACGAAAATTTCCTTACCATTAACAGCCGCCAGAATACTCCAGGGAAAACAAATATTTTTTGGGTTCAGTGGGACAAATGGAAGTGATTCTACCTAGTTATACGTTCCTTGGTCCGGCTGGAGACTCGACCCAACGTCGGGTGAATTGTCTAGGTCAGGAATGGGTCAGAGGTCATGAGCTCAGGAGGCGTAGCTAGGTATGCCTCCGTGATTGGAAATCCACAGCCATTAGGGCGTGACCTTCGGGGGGCTTCTGACCATATCTCTCTCTCTCTCTCTCTGTGTCTCTCTCTCCTTTCCTTCCCCTCTCTTCTCTTTCTTTCTTCTCTCTCTCTCTCTGTCTATCAATCTGCACATCTATCTATCCATTGTCTGCCATTTTGTATGTTATTCTCTATCTGTAATCCTTTCTCTTATTCATATTTTTTCATTCTAACTCTTTCTCTTCCCTTTTTTCTTTCTCTTTCTCTCTCTCTTCTCTCTCTTCTCTTTCTCTCTCTCCTCTCTCTCTTTCTTCTCGTCTCTCTCTCTCTCTCTGTTTGTGTGTGTGTTAGATAGATGGATGGATAGATTAGATATAGATAGATAGGTAGGTTAGATAGATAGGTAGATAGATATAGATATATACACGTACACATAATCATTAAAGTGTGTCATTCGAGATCTGGTAGTTAGGTTCCGGCCACACTGCACGCGCTTTGTTGGGAGGGTAGAGGGTAGCGGGATGTTTAGCGAGTCAGAGGCAAGAAAAACACATCTCTCTCTCTCTCCTCTCTCCTCTCTCTCTCTCTCTCACTCTCTCTCTCTCTCTCTCTCTCTCTCTCTCTTCTCTCTCCTCTCTCTCTCTCTCCCTCTCTCCCTCTTCTCTCTCTCTCTCTTCTCTCTTCTCTCTCCTCTCTCTCCTCTCTCTTCTCTCTCTCTTCTCTCTCTCTCTCTCTCTCTCTCTCTCTCCTCTTCTCCCTCTCCCTCTCCTCTCCCTCTCCCTCTCCTCTCTCTCTCTCTCTCTCTCTCTCTCTCTCTCTCTCTCTCTCTCTCTCTCTCTCTTCTCTCTCTTCTCTCCTCTCTCTCTCTCTCTCCTCCTCTCTCTCTCTCTCTCTCTCCTCTCTCTCTCTCTCTCCTCTCTCTCTCTCTCTCTCTCTCTCTCTCTCTCTCTCTCTCTCTCTCCTCTCTCTCTCTCTCTCTCTCTCTCTCTCTCTCTCTCTCTCTCTCTCTCTCTCTCTCTCTCTCTCTCTCTCTCTCTCTCTCTCTCTCTCCCTCTCTCTCTCTCTCTCTCTCTCTCTCTCCATTCTCCACACTAGTTCGTTTTAGACATTTGTTTGTTCTTGCTCTAACCGCTAAGCATCCGCTACCCTCACCGCTTTAGGTTCCTAAAAACTCCCAGCTTTCGCCATAATCCGAAGGTGCAGTCCACTGTTGTCGAAAAAAATTAAGGACGCAGGGTGTTAAACCCTTGCGGTGGTGGACTATCCTCATCGCACACACACAGACACACACCACACACACACACACACACACACACACACACACACACACAACACACACAACACACACCACACACACCACACACACACACACACACACACACACACATATACATATATACATATATATATATATATATATATATATATATATGCATATATTATATATATATATATATATATATTATATATATATAAGATAGGGAAAGGGGAGAGAGAGACAGACAGAGAGAGAGAGAGAGAAAGAGAGAGAGAGAGAGAGGAGAGAGAGAGAGAGAGAGAGAGAGAGAGAGAGAGAGAGAGAAGGAGGAGGGAGAGCTGGAAGAGAGAGTGGGTGGGGGGGTTACTCGCAATTGTCACAAAAATCTGGGTGTAACTCACCAGTTACTATGGCGATTACAGTAACATATTCGATCCATGCTAAAATCTAATGGAAAGTGAGCATATTGGAGAAAATTTATTACGACAGTCCACTGAGTTGGTAAAGACATAAATAGGATAAAGGACTGAAAAACAAGAGTGGGAGAAAACGAGAAAAGCTTTATTGAGAAAGTAACCCAGAGGGAGCCCACTGGTGGTGATGAAGATGTCGACTGAAAAAGGGTTAGAGTCCCTGCTTTCAGACACGGAGCAAGCTGCAGTCCCCATAACACCGAAAACCTTTTTGGACTGTTACCAAGCCAAATCTCGTCCTGTACACCTTTCCATGACATAAACCACGGCTAGAGAGAATAACAGACATAGGCTAAAGGGCATTCAAATTGAAAATAAAAGAGAAAATGTCAACAAAAAAGGAACTACTTCACAGATGCACACAACACAGGCTCGCGCTTGCTTGCATTTTAAACTGGTTTTCTCCTATTTTGGAGGTCCCAAACTAAGTCCTTTCGAAGAGACAAGTCCTAGGAATCGCAAAATTTTGTAGAAAATTTTCCTTCAAAGAGAAAGGTGACATATCAAGAAACCAAGAGAAAAAATGGAAAGTCAAAGGACTATCACAGATGCAGGTTACGCACAGGCAGAGCATCACGCCGGGTTCACGTGATACAGTAGCGAGGAAGGTGGAAGTAGAACTCTTTGTCAAATTTATTCTTTGACTTAAATAGGAAACGAATGGATAAAAAGACTCAGTGGAGAACATGAAAAAAATGCTTTCGTGGTCTTAGCGAGGTAGAATGCACATAACCAAGTTTTACATGAGGACAGTCAGGTAAGTAAGAGCCCGAGGTGGCTGAGTCCACGTAAGACGGGGGAGGGCGGGAGGACTGGTGGGGGGGGTAGCAGGTAGAAGAGGGGGGTGGGTTGGGGGAGGGGGAAGCGATGAGGGAGGAGGGGTCATTGAGGTTGTGACGCGGGCGTGTTTGTTCCGAAAATCTCCTGCATTTTGAGGAGGAGAAAAGGAGAAAGAGATTGGTCTATAGAAAAGAAATTGGACTAAGAGGAAGAAGAGAGAAGAAGTAACATCAGGAGAAGAAGCTGAATGTTGGGCAAGAGGCTGTAATGTTGGTCACAGGTGGGGCCAGACTGGAGATCGAGAGCCCTGGGGGGTTCACCTGGGGAGGGGGGGGGGATGGCACGGGTTACCAGGGTGGGGTTAGGCCGAGCAGGGACGCGTGGAGAGGAGGAGGGGGGGGACGGAGGAGGGGGGAGACGGAGGAGGGAAGGATCCGAGGAGCTCAAGAGCCACGGCTTTGCACGGCGCCTCTCACTCTGTGCGGTGTCTTCGCTCAGTGTGCATGCTCCTCCTCGTCCACTCGCTCACCTCCCCCAAGGCATTCCCGGGGCCTGTTCTCCCCAAGAAGTGCTCGTGTGCTCATGTTAGTGAGCATTTACAACCTGTGTGATATTGTCAACTGTGCTCCTAGTCACCCAACCAAAGCCCAAGAAAGCAACTTTAAGATTATTAGTCCATGCTCCGTATGTGCAGGTGAGTAATGACAACTAGCTTCTGCTGCCCCTTCGCCCCTGGCCCACCCTGGCAACAGCGGGGACTTGGAGTAGCATGGAGCCGCCTTGGTAGACCCTAAGTGCCTCGGTGACTCGAATATGAAGAGGGATGATGGCGGACCACACAATCCAGGCTAAACGCTTGGGTGATTCCATGTTATTTACGATACAGAGGCCTTGTAGAAATTCGTCCTTTTCGTCTGTGTTATAGTTTATATCAAGAATATGAGTCTGATTATCTGTTATAGTTTATATCAAGCATATGAGTCTGATTATCTGTTATAGTTTATTTCAAGAATATGAGTCTGATTATCTTTTATAGTTTATATCAAGAATATGAGATTTCTGAGTTATAGTTTATATCAAGAATATGAGTCTGATTATCTGAGTTATAGTTTATATCAAGAATATGTCTGATTATGTTATAGTTTATATCAAGAGTATGAGTATGATTATTGCTATTGATACAATTATTATAAATAGCATGGTTATTATTTCATTATCATTATGGTAGTTCATATCGCTGTCAGTGTCTTTATTGTTGTGATTGTTATTATGATTATAGTATCAGTAGTAATGATAGTAAAATATGATGATAATGATAACGATAATAATGATATTAAGAACAATAATAATAATGATCATAAGAATAATGATGATGAAAGTAATAATGATAATATCAATAATAACGATAGTAATAGTAAAAATGAAGATAACAGTAATTATCATGATAATAATGATCATAACAATGATAACAATAATAATGATAGTGATAATAATAATAACAATAGCAATGATGATAAGAATATTATTATTATTGTTGTTATTGTTATGATTTTTTTGTTATTTATAATCATCATTCATTATTATCGTCATTATTATTATTATCATATATCATCATCATCATCATCATCATCATCATCATCATCATCATCATCATCATCATCATCATCATTCATCATTAATTTATTATATTATTAATGTTGGTATTATTATTATAAATTAATTATTATTATTATTATTATTATTATTATTATTATTATTGTTATTGTTATCATTGTTATTAGCATTAATTATTATGTTGGTGTTAATTATTAGTTAGTAGTAGTAGTAGTAGTAGTAGTAGTATTAGTAGCATTATCAGTAAGTAGTAGTAGTAGTAGTATAGTTAGTAGTAGTAGTAGTAGTAGTAGTAGTAGTAGTAGTAGATAACAATAGGGATATAATGATATTAATGATGATAATAATGATAATGATAATAATACAGATGAAAAGGATAAAGATGAAAATTACAATAATAATAACAATAATAATATTGATAAAGATAATTATGATAATCATAATGATAATAGAATTATGAAGATCATGTTAATGATAATCATAATATAATAATATAATAAAAATATGATATGATAGCATTAAGAATATTCTTGGTAAGGATAATAGTGATATAGTGATGCTATAATCATCCTTATTATCATCATTACCACCATAATCATCATTATTGTCTTCATTACCATCATAATATTATCATTATCATTTTATCATCTTTTTTATGTTTATCATTATCGTCATTATCATATTATTATATTATATATATTGTCATCATCATATCATCATATCATCATATCATCATCATCATCATCATATCATCATCATCATCATCATCATCATCATCATCATCATCATCATATCATCATTATTGTTATCATTATCATTATTATTATCTTTATCATTATCATTATCATTATCATTATCATCATCATCATTATTGATGTTTTGTTATCACAATTATTATCATTATCATCATCATTGGTTCCATCACTGTCATTATGACTATTGTCATAATGACAATTGTTGATGTTTTGTAGCGTTGGTTTGTTGGTTAGCAGGGAAAAAATATCAACAGATTTTTTTTATGAATTATTTACCAGAGGTGTGTCCTAGCCCAAATTAGATGCCACTTAGATCCAGAAGTTTTTAAAATGATTGCATGAGTTACCCCTATAACTTTGACGGAGGTATGCGCCCTCTGAGTGCTTCTAGTTATTATCATTATTGTTATTAACATTCTTGTATTATCATTATTATCATTATCATTATTAATATGATTAATGTTTTCATTATTATTATTATTATCATTATCATGATAATAATCAATCATTATCATTACTAATACCCTGTTCAATGGCTTATTTTAGGTCTGTGTGTATGTGTGT